ACAGCGCCCATGTGAATGAGGCCTAAAACTGTTACTGTTCCTTGAGTGCATCTATTGTTGTCTATCTGCACGGAAACTGCTTTGGAAGATGATGAATTGTCTCAGTGTGCACTTTTTTTTATGATATGCATAGAATTATTTGTACTTAAATTTATGGTTTCAGCAGAATATTATCATTACACTTCCAGTACTATTGTTCTAGTTTTAGCACAATAGCGATGCTGGGTTATATGCTCACAGCTTTTATTCATTATGATCACTAAGTACAGCAGCTAGCAGCATAGTTTAACTTCTTAGCACTGGCACCTCCCGACCCTTTAAGAGTTTTAGAGTCATGTGACCGTCATGATTCGCCATCATGGCGGTCACATGATCGGAAAAGGTCCCAATCGCAAGGGGAGTTCAGAATCTTTCCATGAGTCACGGACACTTGCTGGGAGCGCGCAGGGCGCACGCTCTCAGCACACATGTATTTTCTAATGGCATGCAAATATGCGGCCGCTGGGCATCAAGGCCCAGACGCCGAGCGTTCGGTGTCAAGGGGTTAACATGTTATGGAAGGATAGGGAAGTGCAGGAGTAGCTGAAACTCTGTACCCTTCTAAAAAAAAAAAACCCCAAACAAACAAAAAACAGTTGGTATGCTGATCCAGTGGCTTCAATACTTTCTGGAGTACTGATCTGGAACAAGCATGCAGATCAGAAGTTCTAACTTCACTCTTGCAATCTGTATGTAGGGCTAGGCTAAGGCAGAGGCAGAAGAGGCACCAAGCTTGGGTGTCGTGCTATGGGGGACGCAGCTAGGTGGGAGCCTCTCTTGCCTTTACACCACATAGCCATGTCCTGCACTGAGCTTGCAAATTAACTTGTTCATGGCTCTCCCTCTGTAACCAGCCACATTCAGTGTGACAACAAAATCCAGCCAGTGTGATAAACAGAGCACGCCAAGGGGCTGTGAATAAGTGCTGATGATTACACAGGGAGAGCTGCATTCTCCCTGTGTATCTACAGATTGACTACTTGGGTCCTGCTCTGCATTCATTTGTGAGTGAAAGCTACTATTATAGCTTTTATTCATGAATTACCATTATGTGTAAATAAAAAAGTTTTTTTTAAGCAAGATTGCTTAATCATCCTTAATGAACACTAGTTTTAATACATTACTAATTTCTTCTTCACTTAGTATTTTTTGCTTATTTTTTAAAATCATTTGTGTGTAAACTCTTGTTAGTTTGTGTTTGAAGTCTCAACTTAAAAAAATATACTTTTTACCAGAATCATAATTTTAGTGCCTTTTTAAAAAGAATTAAATGCAGAATAAAATTTGTAGTTGACCCAAAACAGTTTTTTAATCTTAAATTTGTAGTTAAAATGAATGTAGGAGTTTAAAACTCTTGTTAGCTTTTGTAGCACCAAATTTAAGAGGATGGGGGGGTGCACTTTGGCATCCTTGCTTTGTGTGCCAGAGGACCTTGTCTCAGCAATGTCTGCATGCTTGTGTAGGTCAGTGACTCAAAGTACTGAAATAAGAGACACCCCGGGAACAGGTATTCTGAGGCGGAGGTCAGCAATTAAATTCCCTGTTGTTATTACAGATTTCCTTTATAGCAGAGTTTGCACCTTGAAGAATATGTACCAAAAAATGGCACAATTATTGAAAAACTTTGAATGTTTAATACCCTAAAGCAAAAACGTATTTGGGATACATCATCAAAAGTATTATTACATAATAATAGTATTTTGGTGTTTCCATTTCAGATCGAGACTTGAAGCAATTCAATTCATGTTGCAATTTCCATTACAGCAGCTTTATCTAAGAATATAGCTAGGGGTCAGGTTCAGTGCTGATTTAAAGTGCATTGTAACTGCTGGGTACTATGTTATCTAAATTTCATAGAAGTAAGATGTTGGCTTTATTTCTCACTACAAGCCAAAATCTTTATTTCTTCTTTACACAAATAGTGTATCCAAAAACAGGGAAAAAAAAAACATTGAAAAATACTGTTTCAAATCCAATAAGGTAATTTGTTTTGCCTGGTAATTTTTTATTAGAATATATCTAAAGCAACAATTTAGAAAAAAAATGAGAGCAGAGAAAAGTTAGAACTGCTGCCAGATATGTACTTGTCTGTATCCCTGCTGTGGTTATTCATCCTCTATTTGTCCTAGTGATTTTTGTCACTGGGACAGAAAGTGAGGGATAGACATGTGCAATTTGGTGTGTTCAGCTTCTTTTATTGGACAAAAATAAAATTTTCAGAGATTCAGATGCATCCGAATTTGCTAGTGGACATAGTAAATTAATTTGAACAAATCTGAAAAAAAGTTATAACAACATTGTTGAATTCATTTAGATCATTCAGATTAATTGAGAAGCTGGTTGTTAAGGAGCAGGTGGCTACCACGTCCTTAACAACCATAAATCATCTGCTGTCATAGGGATTCCCTGCTAACAGCAGATTGTAAACAAAACAAGTGCCGGTTATGGATGGATTTTCTAATTTGGATTTTAAGGGGAAACCCCACACACACAAAAGAAAGCACGGGGTCACCTCCAAAATCCATACCAGACCCTTATCTGAGCATGCGGTCTGACAGGCCAGGAAGGGGGGAAGGCCCCCCTAAAAAATACCAGGACACATGCCCTCAACATAAGGGAGTGCTTTGGGGAAGGGGACTCCTCACAAGGGCCTCTTCCTCACAACCCTGGGCAATGGTTGTGGGGGTCTGCGTACAGGGGGCCCCCAAATCCCAGCCTTCCCCCATGTGAATGAATATGTGGTACAAAGTACCCCTACTCATTCACAAAAAAAGTTTCAAAAGTAAAAAAAAACACACTCAGTTTTTGACAAGTCTTTTATCAACCCCCCAAAAAAGAAGAAGAATCTAACGTCAATTACAATAAACGCCGACTCCCATAAAAAACGAACAAAACCCGCCACCCTCTGAATACAACTGGTCTCATGTCCCATCACTTGCTAAATGACAGGTAAACATGGGGGTGGGGTCACCCAGTAACATCACCAGGTGACCCCGCCCCATCTTACCTGTGATTTGGCGAGTGTCCTGTCACTTGTCAAATAACAGGTAAACATAGGGGCAGGGTCAACCAGTGACATTACAGAGTGACCCTGCCTCCCATGTTTACCTGTCATTCAGCGACTGACGGGACACTTTGGCAGCTGTTTTTTTTTTTAATGGTTCTGCATTCATTGTGACATTTTTTTTCAGGGTGGGGGGGGTTAATAAAGGGCTTGTCAAAAACTGTTTCTTTTTTTTTTTTTTACTTTTTTGGTGAATGAGTAGGGGTACATAGTTCACATGGGTGGAGGCTGGGATTTGGAGGCTCCTTGTTAAAGGGGGCTTCCAGATTCCAATAAGCCCCCTGCCTACACCCCCTGCCCTACACCCCCTGCCTACAGACCCCCACTGCCACTGGCCAGGGTTGTGGGAAAAGAGGCCCTTGTCCCTAACAATATGGTTACAAGATGCTTTGGGAGGAAGCCCCCCCTCCCCCAAAGCATCCCCCATATTGAGGGCATGTGGCCTGGTATGGTTCTGGAAGGGGGCACTCGTTTGTCCCCTCTCCTTTTCTGCCCTGCAGGGCTGCATGCTCGGATAAGGTTCTGCTATGGATTGTTTTGCGGGGAAACCCACTCCAAAATGTTAGCATATGGTTCCCCTCAAAATCCATACCAAGCCCTGGGACCATATGCAGTTTTTTCAATTTTTTTTTAACTGGCACTTTTGTTTACATTCCACTGATAGTAGGGAATCCCGCTGACAGCAGAGTCATGGTTGTTAAAAACCATGCTATTCCTAATAAAATGAACTGAATACCGAAGATACAAAATGAGTTCTGAAAACTAATAGGGTCTATTACCGAATGCATTTGAAATAAATTCTTAAATTAACGAATGCATTCGAAAACAAACGAAACAAAATGTTTTCATTGTGCACATGTCTAGTGAGGAAAATCAAAAAGCTTCTTTTGTATGTTCAGTAAAAACAGGTGATTTAGCCACAGTTTTTCTACAATACACCTTGAGGGGCTGTTCACACGTCACAACACAAAGCATTACCTCCACATCAAATTTAACGTGGCATGTAGAATTGACAATCTGCTCCTCCTGTCAAACCTGGCCATTCAAATCAATAGGGGTTTGATGCAACTGTGAGCTAAGTGCTTGTCTCGGTAAAAACACATTAGTCTCATTGTACATTGCCATTTGGCAAAAAACAAAACAGGTATTCAGGAGGCAAGAGGATCACCTCCTTAATACCTGACAATGGTTGCTTAACGCATTGTAAAAAATACTCCACCATGGATCACTTTTAAGGGAATGGGTTAGTGTGTTTTCTATCAGTTTGTTGTGTCTAAAAGACTGTTTTAAACTTTTTCTTTTTATATTCAAACAAAATAGAAAATTTTTGACTGTAGATACAATTTAATTTTACTTCTTGATAAGCTTTGCCCTCTTTTAGTTGGCCCTCTCTTCTCTGCCCTCCCTGAAGTTGAACTTAAAGTAAACTTTTCATAAGAGAATTACAACTGCTGCCAATGCTGACCTTCATTGTTAGTTAGCTGTGTCTTTTGCTGTCCCACTGGCTTCAATACTATAAAGCACTGACACAGATAAAGAACGATGCTTTGGATGATAGACTGTAAAATACACTAAATTCACCAAAAGTGTGCTGGGATGTGTGTCTGCTCACATTACAGTGCTTAGTAAATACTGTTGAGATATAATTTGGGCGTTGCCCTGCTGGTACATATATGAGTATCTTTTAGCAAATAGACCCCTTTTTAAAATATTTGTTCATGATCAGTTGCTCATAAACACTGAAAATAGAGGACCAGCTTGAAATCCTGGCTTCTACGGTCTGGTCTGTGGGGAAGGTGATGTAAACTAGAAGAAGTGAGCAGAGAGCTTACAAATTTCAGGCTCAGCCTCTCCTCTCTGTATGTGTCTGCAAAGGTGACAACAAAAAAAAAGGACAGGGCAGTGGTGGAGTATGCAGTGTTGGGTGGCAGAAAGGTGCAGTATCTGGGGTGTTGGGGTGCAGGGATGCAGAGGGGTTCAGAGTCAGGGATGCTGGGTATAGACCAGGGGCGGACTGACAACTCATGGGGTCCCCGGGCAATAGGGGATCATGGGGCCCCTGTGTCCTTGCCCACACTCAAAAAAAGCCTATAAAAGGTACCAGGGGCATTTCATGGGGCCCCCTACTGACCCCGGGCCCTCAGGCAGTGTCTGAGTTCTCCAATGGTCAGTCCGCCCCTGGTGTAGACAGATGAACTATAAGGATACATCAAAGAGCTGAATGCGAAAGCTGTCTGTATGTAAGCCTGCTGAGAGACTTCTCTGACTGAGAACCACCTGATATCATGTTGGCTCCTGGACCACATTGCCTGCTGATCAGGGGGCCATTTGGATTTTGCTATTTGAAAGTACAGTTAGCGTTCATTAATTCAGTATTGCAGTATTGTGTGTTATACCTCAACAGTAAGACATGGCATACTGTGCACAAGTAGGGGCCAATGGACTCACACAGCATTGCTCTACAATGCACATACATTGTGTTGTAGTGCTCTGCATCAAATTTTTGATAAAATGGCTGTCCTAATAACTTGCACGCAATAGCACACTGTAATGGAATGACACATTGTGAAGGAGGTCTTAATATTTTGATCTGTATTGCTTTCCACGTAATATGTGGTCTATGAAGACTTGAGGGTAGAGGGGTGTCACGGTATGGGAGCCTGCCAATTATTAATCCCCTTATTAATGCCTTGTATCACATGCCCTCAGAGTCCTGCTCTGTATTGTTCCAATTGTCCCCTGTGTTACTAGGCCAAATGGCCTAATTAAATTACTCTGGGCCCCCTCCCTCCCGGCCAGCTGGCTGGGAGCTCTCTACACATCTCCCAACTTGCTTTTCATCTATGCAGACATCATCCCTGCCCCCCCAGGATGTCCCTGTAACCAGCCTGATTCTCCCTGGGGTCTAGTATTACCTCCCCCTCCCGGTTGCCAAGGCGACCGGGGGGGAGCGTCCTGCAGCAGATTAAGAGGCTGATGCTAGAAGCTCCGTTTTTCACTCCGGTGTGCAGTCAGCAAAAGGATCTCAAGCTCCGGCGAGACCTTTCTGACTAGACTCTGCAAGTCTACTCCCCAGCCTCACAGAGACCCCACAGAAGGGAAGAGGCGGCCAGAGAAAGCCTGCCTGCGATTGCGAGAGACCCCACAGAAGGGGGAGAGACTACCACAGCCCGTCTGCAAGAGCCAGAGGCCACCCGCCTGATCCGGACTCCACAGGTGCCTGCGTTCTGCTTCTACCCCTGGGAGACCAGGCACCCTGTTGGATCCGTGAGTACCTGCTTCCCCACTGTTACCTGAACTGTTGCGGTGGTGACTCCAGGCACCCCTCTCATGTGTCAGACTACCCCTGTTACAGGGACACCCCCTTGACTCTCCTAGTGGACTATAAGTGGGTGGGGCCCCTTGTTACCATTTAGTGGCAAATCCAACCTCTCTGCCACCCCCCGTATTGAAGTACTGCCGTCTGTTTGTCTCAATAAAGCTTTGTGCGTCTGCCATCCACTCCGTGACCTTCCCTGCCATGTGGAACCGTCCTATAGGATGTATGCGCACAGGATGTCGCAGTCCTGTCGGAGGTGGCTAGAGGGGCCCGCACCGCAGAAGAAATCATCCAAGCATTTCTGAAGGAGCAATTCTACAACCAATGCCCGGCGGAGGTGCGCGGATGGGTAAGAGAGAAAGCCCCTACCACCCTTGCAAAGGCCGCTGCCCTGACCGATGAGATCCTGGCCATCAAGCCACACTGGAAACTGCGGGCCCCTGAGCCGTCAAGGGCCCCGCCCCCCGCCATCTCTGCCAAAACGGGCCCCCCACCTACCACTGCCAATCCCGCAGGGCCACCCCCCAGAGCCCGGTTCACAGGGCCCCCCATGGAGCGCTGCTGCTACGGATGCAACCAGCCAGGGCACCTCCAAGCTAACTGCCCCACCTCTCGAAGCCGGCGTTTTACCCGTCCGGTTCACCACCTGAAACTCCATCCCGCAGAAGAACCACTGCCCCCGCCTCCCAGCGAATGGATGAGCCCCCCAGACGCCAACCAACCCTGGGGGGTTTACAGTGTCCACCCCCCGGGGGCTACATACTCCACCCAGGAACAACGCCACCTGCAGGCCGTGCGGGTAGATGGGCAACCCGCCACCGGTTTTCGGGATACGGGGGCCTTCCGGACCATCACTGATCCCCGAGTGATCCGGCCGGAAGCCATCCAACCCGGCCCTGGATTTGCCATCGAGCTGACGGGAGGAGCCAGGCATCACATCCCCAGGGCATCCGTGCGCCTCGACTATGGGTTCTGGGAGCAACAGTGCCAGATCGGCGTCATGGGCGGCCTCCTGGTGGATGTCCTACTCGGCAATAACTTAGGGGAGCTACGATGCCAGTACATCAAGGCGGTGACCCGGCGCCAAGCAGGTCGAGGTCCTCCTACAGACGAAGCCACCACAGGACCTTTCCCCAGCATGGACTCGGTGAGTGAACCCCTACCTGACTCAGACCTTCCCCTGACCTGGGATTGGGAGACCTTTAAGCGGGAGGTAGCCACAGACCCCACCTTGGCTAAGTTTAGGACCCAGGCCGCCGCAGGGCGGCAGGAGGGGGATGGGGGCCAGCTTTGGTGGGAGCAGGGGTTGTTGTACTGCACAGCAGGCCCAAGCCGCCCGGGTCAACCCTCTGCTAGCCCCACACAACTGATAGTGCCCAGACGGTTTCGGTTCCCACTGCTCCAGATAGCCCACGACATTCCAGTTGCTGGCCACCTGGGCAAGAGGAAAATGGGGCTGTGGCTGACCCAAGCCTTCTACTGGCCAGGTATCACCCAGGACGTAGCACACTTCTGTCAGACCTGTGACATCTGTCAGAGGAGGGGACGCCCAGGGGACCACCCCAAGGCGCCGCTCCGCCCCTTACCCATCATTGACGAGCCCTTTCAGCGGGTAGCTGTAGACATCCTGGGGCCCCTGGCCCAGCCCAGTAAGGCCGGCAAGCGGTACATCCTCACGGTAGTGGATTACGCCACCCGCTACCCCGAGGCTGTCCCCCTGTCCAGCATCTCCGCCCCCAAAGTAGCCGAGGCCCTAGTCACCGTTTTCTCCCGGGTGGGTTTCCCCAGCGAGATCCTGACGGACCAGGGTACCCAGTTCATGTCCGAGGTGGTCCAAACCCTCTGGCGCACGTGCTGGGTACGGTCGATCCGGACCCACTCCCTATCACCCCCAAACCAATGGCCTCTGCGAGCGCTTCAATGGCACACTGAAGAGCATGCTGAGGTCCTTCGTTGATGGGGAGGCGGACTGTGAGAAGCTCCTTCCACACCTGCTGTTTGCATATCGGGAGGTACCGCAAGAGTCAACGGGGTTCTCCCCCTTCAAACTCCTGTACGGGCGGAAGGTCCGCGGTCCCCTATCCCTGCTCCGGGAACATTGGGAAGGGCAGATAGAGGACACGGGTACCCCCGTCGTTCCCTATATTCTCGAGCTACGGGAAAGGCTGACCCGCCTGGACACCATGGCCCACGGCCACCTCCAGGCAGCCCAGACACATCAGAAGGTCTGGTACGACGCAAGGCACGCGGCCGCGAGTTCACTGAAGGGCAGCAGGTGCTCAAGATCATCCCCAACCCCCAGAATAAGCTCCAGCACATCTGGGAAGGACCCTACAAGGTCCTCCGCAAGATAGACGAGACTAGTTACGTCATTGGTCTCGACACCCGCAACCGCCAACAGCGCACGGTCCACATCAACATGTTTGAGTACCATGACCGGGCTCTGCCCGTGCTCACTGTCTGCCCCGCCTCCACGGGCGGAGCAGACGAGGGAGCCCTGCCCAATCTCCTGCAAGCCACCAAGGTCACCACTCCCCTAGATCAGATTCCCACGGGGGCTCGGCTGAAGCCCCGCTAGACGGCACAGATGCAGGGCGTGATAGCGGACCGGGCCGTCGCCTTCTCGGCCAACCCAGGTCGCTCCGGGTTAGCCCTCCACCACGTGGAGACCCACAGTCAGAAACCAATCCAGCAGGCCCCATACAGAGTCCCCGAATCCGTGAAGGCGGCCATCCAAGCAGAACTCTCCGAGATGCTCCAGCTGGGTATCATCCGAACCCTCCCGCAGTCCTTGGGCCTCCCCGGTGGTGATCGTGCCAAAGAAGGATGGGACCACCCACTTTTGCGTGGATTACCGGAGGTTGAATGACTACACTGTCAGTGACGCCTACCCCATTGGACGCATAGACGACCTGCTGGACTGTCTGGCTGGGTCCCGCTACGTTAGCACCCTAGACCTCAGCAAGGGCTACTGGCAAATCACCCTCACAAAAGAGGGCGTTGAGCGCTCTGCCTTCATTACCCCGTTCGGCCTGTATGAAGTCCTCGTCATGCCCTTCGGCATGAAAAATACCCCCGCCACCTTTCAGTGGGTCGTGGATCAGCTACTGGAGGGACATAGCTTACCTAGATGACATAGCTATCTTTAGCGACACGTGGGAGGAGCACCTGGCCCACGTGGGGGCCATCCTAGACCGCATCTGCAGGGCCGGGCTGACAGTGAGACCAGACAAGTGCCAGTTGGGAATGGCGGAGGTACAGTACCTCGGGCACCGAGTGGGGGGGGGACACTGATACCTGAGCCAGCCAAGGTTCAGGCCATTTATGACTGGCCCACTCCCCAGACCAAGAAGCAAGTGATGGCATTCCTTGGCACTGCCGGCTATTACCGTAAATTTGTACCTAATTTCAGCTCCATGGCCCAGCCCCTGACCGACCTGACCCGGAAGAACAGTCCCCGGATGGTGACCTGGACCTCGGCCTGTGAATCCGCCTTCCATGACCTCAAATCCGCCCTGGCGAGAAACCCCGTCCTGGCCGCCCCTGACCACAACAGACGCTTCCTCGTACAGACAGATGCCTCCACCTACGGCCTAGGGGCTGTCCTCAGCGAAGTCAACGAGGCTGGGGAGGAACACCCCGTTGCCTTCCTCAGCCGCAAGCTACTGGACCGGGAAGTTGCTTATGCTACAGTGGAGAAGGAGTGTCTGGCCATAGTCTGGGCCCTAAAGAAACTACAGCCCTACCTGTACGGCCGGGAGTTCACCATAGTCACCGACCACAACCCCCTCACATGGCTGAACCGGGTGTCCGGGGACAATGGGCGCCTCCTTAGGTAGAGCCTGGCCCTCCAGCCCTACAAC